GCAGTTATTTACACACGCACTTGACATACCAAGTACTACACATTAATAATACAATTGCAGTCATATATAAGCGTTCAATATACACATACCCGTACGTACTGTAAATATAAATTTGTGAGTATGTATATGTGTTTGCGTGTGTGTATGGGTGTATTTGTGTGTGTGTTTGTGTTTGTTTGTGTACGTGCATGTTTCTCCCAGTTTTCTTTTCTGCCACTCTTAATATTTTCACTGACTTAATTTCAATTAGCTCACAGCCTTGCAAGATTTGCTTTGCAATGTTACAATTTAAAAACGACCTTCCAATCTAAACACATGCTCCCAGCCAGACACACGCTTTCATATATAATTTACACACACAATGGCATGCAAGCATACACACACACACACGGACAGATGAGCAGATAGGCAGACATGTGTAGGAATAAGCACAGATACACGTGAAAATTTTACTGGTTTGCGTGCGTGTGTGTGCGTGTGTGTGCGTGCGTGCGTGCGTGGGTGGGTTGGGTTGTATTCTTTTGAAAATATTACATTAAAATATAAAAAAAATGAATTTTTTTTCACTGTAAAAAAATCAAATGAATTACTTTTTCTGTTTGAAAAACGTATCCAAATGATAGCTCCAAACTAAATGGACGTATTCTGTGACTGGTTTTATTTAAAAGTACGCAGAAACCATTTTAATTTTCAATATTTCAAACTTAATAGTTTATAAACTAAACCCATGAGAAACGCTACAAACAACTTAACTCTGTTCATTATACAACAACTTCCATGTCAATTTGTTAATTTCAGTGTTGAATTTTCGACAAAAATAATTTTTTTTATAACGCCGCAAAATTTATTTTCTTCTTCAGGTCATTATCCATTGGCAATGGACGAAAACAAATGCATTTTATACACGAATATATTTTTTCAATATAATCCAATAACGACGATAAATACTAATAAATCCATGAATGCCTTATTTTGATGCATTATACCCCAGCTACCAAAACAAACTACTCAACCGCCAACGACATTAGCGCAAGCAGCAGCTTCAAGAACTTCAAAGTGATATCCGATAAATTTCAAAACTTGGCAATTTAGACGAAAACCTATTTACTGATTTTTACAGCGCTACCCATTCAGAGCCACCTACCCACCAAACTAACTACTCCCGGTCAGTAAGTGGAGATGAAACTGAAACAGAAAATCAAAAACAAACAAACAGACATACAAACAATTTGCCAGCAGACGACTCACGGACAGACAGACGCACAAACACACTACGCACTAACGAACGAACATACACAACAACAACAACAAATTATTGTTATTTTTATTATTAATAATGTTATTTTTGTTGATGTTTTATTGTTGTTGTTGTTGTTGTTGTTGTTGTTGTACTAGTAGTGTGCGTATACGCAAATTTTCTGCGTGTACACTTGTTCCGATGATCACGCGCTATATACATAGAAGCACCATCTTACCATTCTCGCAGCTAGAGCGTACATTCATACGTACGTATAATACACGCATACGTACGTATAATACACGCATACATACGTATAAAACACGCATACATACGTATAATACACGCATACATACGTGTCTATTACCTATATTGTAAATATTATATATATAGACATTTATTTATATAAATTTACATATATATATAATTTGAGGATATTTTTGCGACCTATATTTGTTCTTTATATAAATGTCCATTAATAAAAACACATTGATTGTACACAGATTTTTGTATTACGTACATACGTACATATGTATGTACACACGTACATACAAATTTACTTGATACACATGCGTATATGTGTGTAAGGATGTTCTTTTTGTGTGTTCATATGTACGTTTACGTATGTACAGCGAATGTTTGTCGCTTTCGTTTTTATATAAGTACCAAGATTCATTGGTATTGTGAGGTACATCTTGCGTATATATATATAGGTCTGTATGTATGTATACAGTCATCTTTAAAGTATATGGTATTGATAGTATAGTCTCGTTTGTAGCAATAAATACACACGTATGTATCAATTTATGCGTGCGTATGTGCTTGCGTTAAATGTATACGCGTATGCGACGTATCTGCGTATATGTGCGTGTGCGTGCGTGTGCGTGCAAAGCTTGAAGGACACACTAACCTACTTTACACCGTCCTTACTCGCCGTACCACACAGGCAGACATTGATACATAAATAAACGCGTATTTGCTTACGTAAATACCAGCACACACATGCCTGTATGAATAAATGTTGTCAGTTTTTATGGGTATTTGCTTGCATGAATACCTGGACACTCGGTTCGGTATCCACAATTTATTTTGTCCACAATGTATTTACGAAGAAAAATACGCCAGGATAAACAAGAAAATCATCATCTTTCTATTTTTCTCTCTTTCTCTCTCTCTTTCTCTCTCTCTCTCTCTCTCTCTTTCTCTCTCTCTCTCTCTATATATATATATATATATATATATACAAGTTCATAAAAATAGCTGCGCCAAAGTTAAAGCAGAAGTAATTAAATTAATTGATTTATTAAGGAATTGATTAATGGAGGAACGAAAATTTGTATGAATGAATAATGAATGAATGGATGGATGGATGGATGGATGGATGGATGGTTGAATGAATGAATGAATGAATGTATGAATGAATGAATGAAACCGGGTGAAGGAAGAGATGAATGATGAACTAAATAAGCTGGTAAATGAGAAAAGAAAATATGATTGATTGAAAGAATGAAGGAATGAATGACAGATCTTTTTACAGCATACTACATATATACAAGTACACTGATACCCTGTTAATATACACTGATGTGATTTACATGTGTATACATTTGTACGAGCAATCTGTACACAAACGTGTACAATGACTCCACAGGCAGACTGTATTGCATTTAAGAAGGGAACGAACAAATGTCATATTTGACTTTAAAAATAACCCAAGATGATGCAGTGGCTATCACATAAACTATACGAATGTACATTTCTTCAGACTGCATACAAATTGCATGCACGCCAATAGATGAATACATAATTCAGAGTACAATATATGGATACACTTAGCAAATGCACACACACACACACACGCAAATGTATAAACAGAGAAACATATAAAATTTACACAGATTTATGCACACATACAGATACAAACATGTACACAAACACATGGGCACGCACGCACCGTATACATACGTGTTGTACGCCTCAAGACAAATAACACTTGCGTTGAAGAGCGACTACCTTTCAGTGAAAAGCTAACACTACAGATTTTAAAATAGATATCCAGACATTCGGACATAGAGACAGACACTTAGACAAACATTCACACAGACGGACAGTTAAAAAGATAGACAAACACATTAAGTATAACGAACAAAAAACATACAAACACGTCATGAACATGGAGACAAAGTTACTAGTACATATTCAAAAAAAGGAATAAAATGTCATCGATTTCACATTGGTTGATGTCTCTTTACTTACTAAAATACATTTATTGCTCAAATTTTTACATTTGCATCCATGCCTACATTCCCAGCAAATATACTATCTGCATTATTACATCAGGATATTGGCATATCAAGCATAATTTTGATCTAAGCTCGTTATGATGACCACAAGAGTCCTTTGAGTGAAGTTCTTCTGAAAAATAAACTCATCAGAATCAATAGCTTCATATTAATATATCATTGTAACAATTATATATATATTTATTCGTAGTTTTGCAAATTCATAGATTATTCTACAAAATTTAAGATGAAAAATAATTAAAAACTATTCGGGACCTTGAAAGAGACGTTAACCAGTCAAATTTAAATCTGCTACATAGACCGCTGTAATTTCATTTGACATAGTGCAAACGTGAATAGAAACTTATACTTAGAAAGTATTAGAAATAATTAATCTTAACTAACATGTGCTCATTTTAATATTTGCACGCACACATCACGTATCATCTGGATTTACACATTCACATATAGATTTAGATTTTATGTAATAGAAGCATATAATTCGAAGTTCTTGCAGAACTATATGTTAAGATGATTCTTCGAACTTTGCATTTGCACACTGCAAATGTTAAATTAAAAAAGATGCATGTTTCAATGAAATAGCTATATTTAAAATGATTTTTCCTGTGACTACTTTAATATACCTCAGAATTATCTCTTAAAAATTAACAGGATGTGTTTTATCAAAATAATTTGTAAATAAATGATTCATTTAACATGCTTTACAATTATATTTTACCTGTTTTATATATAATATTATCATCGTTCCATCGTATGTGATCTCAAACTACCTTGGAATGTATCAGTGCTAAAAATTTTTAATTTTATATTCTATGCTTTTTAGTATTTAATTTTTAATGTAAGCAAGCTGTTGGCGATATAAGGTGGATTTATTAACGTTCCGAGGTTTTTTTTTCGACCCGTATTTTATCCATTCGCATTTCATCATTTCGTTTTTAAACCTTGTATTTATTTTTTTTTTATAAATTTCAATTCTAAAAATTCTATCACATTTTAATTCTATTTTTTTTAATTTTTCATATCTTTTTAAATAAAATTTAATAACTTAATAATAATAATTAATATTAATTAATTAATTAATGTCCTAAATTAATTAATTAATTTCAATTTTAATTTTGTTTTTTTTTAGTTATAAAATAATTTCATTAAAATAAATGAAATTAACGGAACAGACAGTAAAAATTAAAAAATGACCACAAGAAGAAGAAGGAAACAAATTTAATTTTTAATAATTTGAAATATTAAGTTATCAGTAGTAAGCACTAATTCTAATCAGTGGAGACTTGTACATGCACTGTACGTACAGCTCATTCACTTACTCACTCACTTATACAATACTTTACTTTCGTAATAAATAGCAATTGGATTTGACAAACCACAAAAAGTAGCATAGCATTAATTAAATCAAGCTCTTCATTTCACTAATAAATATATAAATAAATAATACAATACAATCAGAAATGGGTTGCACTACCAATCATTCAGTCATAGTGCCGGTGTTCGCGCTGATCTCAATGTTCTCATTATCCTCCTGGATCAACGTTGTCGGGCTATGGGTTGAACTGCCAATCATGGTCCAAAAGTTACCAGAAAGATGGAATCTGCCATCCTACATGACTCTTGTCATCCAATGCTGCAACATTGCTCCTGCAATTTATACACTAGCAGGGAAGATTAAATGTAGGAAGAAGCAGAATTCATCAAATTCAGGGTGTTCAGATGCTAAGAGAGACGTAGCTCTTCCAATGATCATCATCCTCATCAGTATATCGTCTGCTTTGTTGAATTCATTCTTCTGGGACCGAACAGCTTACATTGGCAGGGCAGAAAGAAGTGTAGCCCTCATGTTTTTCCTTTCACTTTCATCTGTGGCAAGTTGTTTATCGGCCCTGGTGTACCTACCCTATATGGCCAGATACCCTTCAGTTTACTTGTCAGCATTTTATTTTGGTCAGGGACTATCTGGTCTTTTGCCAGGTTTGATTGGTTTAGGACAAGGATTAGGAGGCAACCCAACTTGTGCTAATGTGACTGTGTGGAATTCCTCATGTCTCAATGCTACATTCAGTAACTGCTCTAGCGAAGATGTGAAATATTTACTCAAGCCAGTATATCCGCAACCCAAATTTTCTGTACAGATATTCTTAATACTTATTTCGTTGTTGCTAGTTGTTAGTTTCTTAGCATTTTATTTGCTCAATTTCTCACGTTTGAATCAGTATCAATTGAGGAAGAATGCCTCATCAGATAATGTAGCAACAGTATCTGGCGATGACAAAACCAATGCAGATGTTGATAGAAAAAACAATGGCCTGGTTTCAAATAACCACCACCGAAGTTCTGGAGATAATAAGGAGGTGAGGGCAGCAGCAGCAGCAGATGTTGAGGATGAATCAAAATTAATCTCTCCATCACCATCCTCACAATACACACTGTCAGCTTCAGAGACAAACTCCAATGCATCAACGTCTGCAGTTGTCGTTAAGAATCTAGCAGAACCTCAGCTATCGAAATCTCACCTGGCATTCTACTTATCATCAATAGTTGCAATCAACATGGCCACCAATGGAATCATTCCAGCTACACAATCATACACCTGTTTGCCATACAGCAATGTGGTATATACACTTACTGTTAGGCTTTCATCAGTTGTTGGATCACTGTCCTCATTATCATCCATGTTCATACCAAAACCTAGCATAAAAGTATTTTTCTTCATGATATTGACTGCACTATCTGTGGTCGTGTTCCATGTTGTCATCGCTGTTCTCAGTCCAACTCCACCTCTCGTAAATACTGTCTACGGTCCAATACTTATTGTGAGGAATTTTTTTACTACTTTAATGATTGCGATCTTCTCTTAAATAACCTCTTTATTTTTTTTTTAATTTATTTTTAATCAAATTTTATTCTAAAATTTCAGGTGTGCACAGCCCTTATAATGACGTCATTGTTCTCATTCGCAAAAGTAACGGCGGCATCGAGGATGCACGCATACGGGGGTAGGAGAGCCCTGAAATGGTGCGGGGCCGTCACCCAGTTGGGCTCGTTTCTCGGGGCCATGTTGGCCTTTGCCCTCATCAACTGGACATCCATATTTACCAGCATATCGCCATGCAGTGCAGAGCATTGATGACATACATCTCTGATTAAATCATCATCATCGTTATCATTAGTACAATTATCATCACTATCACCAATCAGTATCAACGTAATCATCATCGTCGCTATCATTTAGTGATTAGTTTTTTTTTAAATATTATTTTAATTTATTGACAAATATTTTTGTATTTTCTAGTTATTTAAATAAGTCAGTTAAATAATTCAATTCTTTGACTTGCTCTGTCAATAAACTTTTAGTTGGAATGTGTTGAAATTGTAAATTTTCTGTTAATTTAGCTTTGTACTTGTTTTGTTCGCACTCATTCGTTCTTTCATTCATCCACTCATTCATTTGTTTATTCTTTCACTCCACTATTCAATTTTCAAATTGAATTGTTACACATACATATGTGTGCGTGTGTGTGTGTGCGTGCGCGTGCGCGTGTGTAATTTAAAACGAAATTAAAGTTTTATTATCGATAAATAGTGAATGGAATGTAATGGATAAGAATCTGGATTAGTATGCCAAAAGAATTTCTAATGGTAATAATAATTATGTCTAAAATTAAACTAATCGTTATAATTGTTGTTGTTATTATTATTATTATTATTAACATTATTATAGCTATTATTGTTGTTGTTATTGCTATTATTAAAAAAAATAGTCACAATAAAATTTTTTATTTCCATCTCATTTTGTTTTTTTTCATGAACTGTTTGACGTCACGGTATTATTATGATGTCATCTGTATTATGTTTTAAAACAGTAGCGCTTAGTTTTTCACTTGTTTCTATATTTTCAGTCTTTAAAGTCGTCACTATTGTTGTTATTGTCGTTATTATTGTAGTTGTTGTTTTTAGCCCTTTCAAGTGTCGCCACTAATATTGTCCATATTGTTGTTGTTAGTGTTGTTGTCGTCGTTACTGTAATTGTTGTTGTTGGCACAATTGATGTTATAAACGTCGTTAGTGTTAGTGTAGTTTTCGACGTTGTGGTTGTTGTTGTTGATGTTGATGTTGTTGTTGCTGTCATATACGCTGATGTTTTGGCTGCTGCTGCTACTGCTAATAAAGATGGGTGTTGTTGTTGTTGGAATGGCTACATAATATGGTAGGTAGGTAACTGGCGCTGGATTAAACATTATAGATGGTGATTGAGGTGAGAGAGGAAGATGATGAAGAGGAGGAGGAGGGAGAGATGGAGAAATAGGAGTGAGAGGCGATGATGGAATGACCACGTTAGCCCCGATGTTGTTGATGGCAACTGGTAGGACAGCCACTTCAAATAAATTACGTTAATGTATTTTTAATAAATTGGTTTAATAATGAACGGCGAATAAGTGTTGGGTTAGTAGTGATGGCTTAATTAATCGTTACACATTCATTGAGTGGTCTTTGCTTGTTGAATTTTCGTATCTGTTTATGGTGATGAAAAACAGTTGACTGCTAGCTCAAACTTTACGCTGTTAATATCCTATAAGATATTCATCATAGAATGAGATGATTAAGTTTAGTAATTAACAAATTAGGATCCTTAACAACTGGCCAGATAATAAATTTTTATAACACTTAAAATCTCTTGATGAAATCCGCAATCTTAAAGGTAAAGATACTTTATCATCAGTACCACAATCATAATTAACATCATCACAATCGTTATCATTGAAATCATTACCGTAACGTGAACAACAACGTACCTGGATTGCAGGTCACGTGATTATTGACCATCGGCCAGTCACATGACATCATCACCACACTTCCCCCGTCCACGTAATACATTCCAGCATCACATCTGCCGCCGCCACCACAGCCACTACCGCTGCTGATGTAGCTGCTGCTGTTGGCATAGTTGGCTAGGTTGTTGCACGCAATGAAACCGTTGTTGCCGATGTTATTGTTGTTGGTGGGGACGATTGGGTTGATTTCATAAGTTGGAGAATCAGCTTGAGTATTCGTGGTGTTACTGACGGCAGTAGTAGTAACGTTAACATTTTTGATGCAGTTAGTAACGCCTGCGGTACATTTCTCGGACGTGCAACAACCGTCATTAATGTAGTTGATCTTTAGCTGATTGTACAGCGTACCGTAGCACAAGTGCATAGCGATGTCATCGAAAGAGCAGACGAAAACTCCGACTATGTGTCGTCTGCTCGATACCAACATCATCTTCTTGTGCTTGTTCGTCGCCGAGCTTTCAGCTTGTTTCTCACCCACCATCTCTATGAAGGCCTCCCCTGACGCTGTGCCCTGGAGAGGATTTTTGTTGCGAAGTGTCAGTCTGGTACAGTTAATAAAGATTGCAAATGTAATAGCAAGTTTATTTGGTTACAATTCTGTTGGAGTTAAAGATTTTGTTGAAGTTTCGTTAAAATTTAATAGTTTTTTTTTCTTGAAAAAGTATTTGGTTTATTTTAAAAATGTAAAATGTTGAATGAAATGAAACTGTTTACATCGCAGTTGTAGACCAGGTGTACACCCTTATGTCTGATATCTTTGGCGTGATCGGCTAAGAAATGTACAATGTCGTTGACGGTGGCGTCTGGTGGTGTTCCGACAATGTGCAGGCAGTCCATAACTGAACTGATGCTTTGCAAGGAAGTGGTTCTTGTGGAGTGTTGCTGCTGTTGCTGCTTCGGCTGCTGTTGGGACGTTGTCATCATTGTGGCTGCTGTTGCTGGCATGGGTTGCTGGAGTTTTGTTGCAAAGTCTTGTTGAAATTTAAAAGTTGAATCCTGCTGAAGATTGTTCAGAGTTTTGTTGGTCTGGAATGTTTTAATCGTCTGTGGATGCTGTTGGCTCTTGAAGATGTCGTTTGTCTGTTGGTTTTTTGGCAAGAGAACATCGTAGGATCCGAGGTACGATATGAGGTGAGGGTTGGAGCTGAAGAGCAAGGACGCTGAGCGCGGGTCAAAACTTCGGTTCAGAACCTGAGGTAGTTCAAACAATTTTATACCATAGTTTTCGCAAAGATGAATATATAAAAATAATTTCAATGCCATTTGTTGAACGCTTTTATAAAGATAAAAAATATCTTCAATACAATTTATCATTCATAATCACATCTAAAAATTTTATGAAATATTGTTTATCTAAGGGTTAAGCGATCGAGAAACGTTAATTACTCAATGTTTATAGCTACAACAACTTGAATCATCATATAATAACATTCAAGACATATTTTTCGGATATGATAATTTTTAAAATTTATTAAAATCTCCGAAACTAATCTAAATCTAACTTGCTGTACTTCAGCCGTGGTACTCTTAAAGAGCTCAATGTACCTGGCACCAATGCACTGCTTATGTTTCTTTAATGCTTTGGCACCCTCCTCCTCATTGGCCAAGAGCACAAAGGCGTCACCGGTGTTCCTACCCTCTGAATGGTACACGAACAAAACGCCATCTTCCTCATCCAGTATCGAACACGAATTGGGCTCTTGTTTGAAGAACTCCACCTAGTTTTATTGAAATTTGTATTTCGTGTATTATATAAAATTAACGGGGGAAAACGAATTTGATGTTAAAATATGGAAAAATTAAATTGAAAATTTGATAATCTAAATTTAAAAAAAAGATTTACACCACAACAATCACACACGCACACACGCACGCAAACTCACGCAAACGCGCACGCACACACACGAACCACTTGTATAGGTTTGCAGGTATAAGGAAGTCCTCTCATTCTAATGATAACAGGATTCAAGAGCTCGTACTTCTCAATCAACATCCTTTGTGCCACTTTGTTGCCATCTTGGGAGGAAAGTTTAACATCTTGTATCATTTTTCAACATTTTAAAATTTCAAAATAATAAGAAAAAAACAAGTATTCAGGTCCGGACTCAGAGGTGTATAAGTTTTAAGGTCCTTATTTGGTAATTTTTAAAAAATCAAAATGGTTTTTAAAAAATTTTGCTCTTAGAAAAAATAAAACACAACTTGACCAGTAACACTTTCGATACGTTTTCAATTTTTATTATGGAGACCGCTTTTTTGCCGAGACCTTTCTCATTCTTAAATCCGACTCTGCTGCTGCTGCAGCTACTACAACTACCACCACCACCAACAACAACAACTACTACTACTACTACAACTACTACTACTACTACTACTACTACTACTACTCATAATAATAATAATAACAATAAAAATTATTTGAAAAAAATACTGGAGGACAATGCTCCTAAAAAATCTCTTGCGCTAGACTTGTAGACTTCTATGTAGCGGCCCCCCAGATGATGTTTGTGACGTTTTATTGACAGGTTGCGGTCGGTTGGGGTGTCAAAGTGAACCATCACCTCGCCGTTTTTTCGCGCTTCGCTACTCATGCAGATGACTATGCCCCCTCTGGTCGAAAGTCATTGATACCATTTTAAATAGGTATATTTATTAATAAGTTACAAGTTTTTTGAAGAAATTATAATGGAAGTTAGTAAAAAAGAGATGGTTTTTTCTTGAAGAGACAAATTATTTTATATTCTAAATGGTAAAAATTGTTTAAATTTTATTGTGAAAAAAATTACAAACTTTTTGATGTTGAGTCCGCAGAAAAAGTTGGCGACGTCCATCTCTGTAGATCGCCACGGCAGACCTCTGGCTTTCGTGACGCAATCATCCTCGACCTTGTCACCTGACCTGATGGGTGTGTCACGTGATTGGTTGAGTGAGTGATTTGATGTGATCACGTGATGGATGGAAGAGGGATTGAGTGAATAAATGAATAAAAGAATGAGAGAAATGCGATTAATAACCATGGGGATGGTTCGTAGAATTGTGTTATTGCTTCTGGCTTCACGAATGCGTTACCTTTGTGAATAAAAATTTTCTTAAAATTATAAAGTTTTTTATACAAGTTTATTTCGTGAAACACAAAAACGGACATGAAAACGGACTCCAAAAAGAAAAGAAAATTCTAAATAATATGAAACCCTTAGCAAACAATAGAACAAAATGTAACAAACACAAACTTGAGCATAACAATGATAACAAACATAAATATAGACACAACAGTGCAAGTCTATAAAAAACACGACGACACCCAAATCATTCATTCAACTAATTATGAATTAAAATGTTGTGTTCTTATATCATTCTGCATATTTTTGCATTTATAATTATTTTTTCTCAAATTAAAAAAAATTAAATAAATAAATTTAAAAATTTATTGTAACCATAGTCGGCAAGTTTTTCGATGATTTTCAGTAGATCAGCAGCACATTTCAATGCTACATCTTCGCAAGTAGCGCTGACCTGAATGTTGAAATCTTCACGCGTTGGGTCAAAGGACAGTTGTTAAGGTACATAGATAGATGAAGATGGAGGTAGGCGGTTGTCATTAGGTAAATTTGTATTTAATTCGTAACAGTATTCAAATAGACAAACACACACACACAAATATACATATACACACAGTATAAACAGATAATTCTTATAAAATATAAAAATATTTATCAATGAGTCAGACATTCTTAACGTTGAAACAACACCCAAAACATATAAGAAACATAAATATACTTAAAGATATTACAATGTATCTATAGAGAGAGAGAGAAAGAGAAACAGCAAGAAAAGAGAGAGAAAAGAGAGAGAGAGAGAGAGAGAGAGAGAGAGAGAGAGGAGATAATAACAGTAACAACAAATAAAAGCGTACTATTAATTAATGACAATATGTAGCCAGCCAACCTTAACAAAACAAATATTTGTGATTGGCCACATTAAACATGCTCAGTGTGATAATGCCGTGAATTCATCAAAGAATTTAATTTAATTTAATTAATAAAAATGCAATTAAATAAGTGTGTTATTTTAGTTTTTTCGTCATTTTTAAATTAAATAGCTAAATTATAGCAACTCAGTCAAATTTATCAAGCAAATAAATTGCAACTAAACTACATTCGTTGGATTGTTGTAGTGTGCGTGCTTATGTATGTCAATGTTCTTAATTTCAAAACAATTTTGCTGCTTCTATGTGTGCGTGTGTGTCTGTGTGCGTGTGTGCGCGTGTGTATTTTGAGTTAACAACGTTGATATTGAATGTAGTACTGACAGTACTTAGTAATAATATTAAACGATATAGTTAACGAAAACACATGACATGCATCAATGAATGAATGAATGAACAAATGAATGAACAAATGTATGAATGAATGTATGAATGAACGAACGAATGAATAAATGAATGGACACAAGACCCAAAAAGATACAGGTAAGAACGTCTTTCATAGTGATCGCATCCGCATCAGTTCTGAAGTCGGCACTGAACTTTTCGTAAAATATTTTCTGCACGTCAAAATAGGAGTGGTAATGTTGCTGGAGAAAAATACTTTTCTTCTGACACTCGGGAAGGAGAATTGTTTTGAGACTGTTTGGCCCAAACGTGCAGAAAGACGATTTCAAGTTGCTCTGCTGCGCACTTCTGCGGTTCTCGTCAAATAAAAGGTCCATCTGAAAAGTGTTAACATCAATTCAGTGGTTAATCTGTACGTTTCGAAGAAACGCAACCCTTGGTAAAATATATTGATATTTTTAAAGTTTCGTACGGTCGTAATGTAGTTGACGAGTTGTGCTGGCTAGTGCGAGTAGGTACGCAGTGCGTGTGTTCGAACGGAAAGAGGGTTTGTAAAACGACGCCATTTAGCAGGCGTGTATGTAGGCAGCTCACAGGACGTGTGTCTTTTTAATTAACAGACGTTGGAAAGATGAACGCTAAAAAATGCCCCTGTGAATTTGTTTGTTTGTTTGTTTGATTGAATGAGTGAATGATTGATAGATAGATCGATTGACTACTTGATTGACTGATTGAATGTTCGATCGATTGAAAGTTTAATAAATGAATGAAATTTTACTTCAACTATGACATCCTTCAGGCTTTTGACGTGTTTACAGTTGACGGTGATGAAGTATTCGGAACTCGTTTCGCCATGCAAGGATGACGATGATGATGAAGATGATGATGATGGCGTTGTTGTTGTTGTTGTTGATGACGATGACGAAGATGTTGATGAAGAAACATTCTGATCATTTAGACTGGGATCGATAACAATCTTCTTGCAATAAAGCAACTGCATGGGATATGAAAAAAAATCAATTAAACCTCAAACATCTGTAGTAATGAATGAGTAAATGATTAAAATGATGACGACGACGACGACGAAGATGATAACAGCAACAACAGTTTTATAGGAAAACAGTATCAGTGTTATGATCATATTGTTAATTTTTTTGCCTCCATCCTCACTGCATCATCACATCATCGTTTAATGTTAGAATCACTCATTATGATAACATAAGAACGTTCGATTTAACGCATATTGGTGACTCGTCATCTATAAAAATGTAGAAAGAAGTATAGGCAACATTTTTAAAAGAATTACTATTACAAGAGTTAAAACGGTTAAATGATATAATTTTAAATTTAAAATATTAGAAAAACATAGTAGAAACAATTTTTTTTTATTCTGTTGTCATTTCAAAGCTACTTAAGCAAGCTTCTGTCACGTGTTACTGTTTATTTAACTTAAACTTTATTGTTTGTCACTTAACCGCAGTCATTTATCACTAAGGGAACTACAGACTTGCTCTGAAGTGACCTCTTTCAAATGCAAACAGAAACCACACTTTTCTTTTATATCATACGCGCATAAGTGTCTTGTGTCTATTGTGTTGTAATTTGCATGAGCGTGGTTTTTTGCATGGGAATTTTCATCAAACATGCCGTTATGAAATTGAAATATACTAATAGGATAAACTTCAGTATTTCAGTATTTAATAAGAGGGGTGTTTTCTCAAGAAATAATCAAATTTTTTTTCATAAATTATTAAGATTTAAAAAATTTTGACTCCAAATTAACCTTTTTTAGTGTCAAATCGTATAAAAATACTACAATTTTTTTGATGTTGTCTTCATTGTGAGATGACTCTGAGCCGATCAGTTTATCATTGGTGATGATCGTCAGTCCAAATAACTTTTTATACGTTAGGATCATTTCAAGTTCTGTAGTCGACTGTTCAATCAAGTAACTATTCAATCAATTCAATATCAATTCAATCATTTCAACCAATTTACTGTTTAATCAAACAACAGTCTTGAAATTATTTCGATCATTTAGCTATTAAATCAGTTAAGTTTTCAATCGGTTAATCAACTGTTCAGTCAAGTAACTATTCAATCGAATAACTGTTCAATCAATTAAATATTTAACCAACAAACAATTCAACCATTCAATCTGGTTTGTCAATATTTTAGCTTTTAACCAACAAAGCATAAGCCAAAAGAGCCTCAAATAATATTCTTAATGCAAATAAGTTTTGTCAGAATATAGAGCAACGATTTCAAATCGAGCCAGCATTAGCACTAGCATTAATATCGACATTAATAAAGATAGTAACTACAGTAAGAAACATCGTTAACAACACAGCACCGACAACGAGCTTGAGAAAAATTTGCAAATTACAATCCACATTGCTATCATCATTGTTATTGAATTTGTTGAATACGTGTGCGTGCGTGCGTGTGTAACACGTGTATCTGTATATGAACATAATAAATACAAGTGTATCAATGTTTATACACGTATCTAAGGGTATATTTATACATATTTATATATTGTTTTATATATTATGTTATTAAAATTCAATGTGTATGTGTTGCTCTACGGTGTATGTGTGTGTGTGTGTGTGTGGTGTGGTGTGTGTTTGTGTTGAGCTAGACTCTGCCTTTAACTATAAATGAAAATAATTAACAATAACACATACTTAACTAGCTGATCTGAGTTTCACCTCAGTATTACTTTTATTTTTATTTGTTTGTTTGTTAGTTCGTTAGTTGGTTTGTGCGTTTGTTTGTTTGCATCTGTTTGTCCGTTTGCAGTGAATGAACAGCTCTAACAATGAGCAATAAATTATTTGTTTGCAAGAATGTGTGTGTAAAGGGCAGATAATAATTAACAACGAAGCTATATATATATATATACATATATATATATATTGGTATACATATATATATATTGGTATATATATATATATATATATATATATATGTATGTGTGTGTGTGTGTGTGTGTGTGTGAGTGAGTGGAGTGTGTAGGTGTGTGTGTGTCTAAGCTGTAAAACCAATTTTTAAAAACCTAGGTTTTTTAAAATGTTGAAGTTTTAGGTTTTTTAGGTTTTTTTTATACGTCTCTTTTTAAGTGTGTGTGTGTGTATTTGTGCATGTGTGTACGTGTGTGTGTGTGTGTGTGTGGTGTGTGGTGTGCGTGTGTTTTACGTAGAGACGTGAGTGTGCGTGTCTTAAAGGGTTTTCGTTAGGTTAGCGAATGTTATAATCCATTATTAAGCTGTTAATGTTGAGACACTTTATCACATCAGCAATAACATCAAAACATCAATAATAATAATAGTAATAATAATTATAATAATTACACCAACAACATCAATAACAACAACGTCGATAACAACAACATCAGCCATAGCGATACTACAACATACAACAACAAAGTCTCAATCCAAATGTAGCATTCTTTCAGAAGAGATTAAAGCGACGACAATTATAATCTATACAAATAACAGAAATAACAATTATGTATATATATTTATTTATAATTTATTTATATATTATGTGTGTGTACGTGTGTGTTTGTGAGGGGGTAATGTATATTTGCATATACGCCTAAATAATAAAATGTATTATTATTATTATTGATGTTTTTTTGCATTGCATAATAATAATCAATAGCTAGCTACACTGCTGATGTTAGTACTACTACTACTAGCACTACCACAACAACAACAACAACAACAACAACAACAACAACAACAATAACAACAACAGCAACAACAACAACAACTACTACTACTACTACTGCTACTATTGATGCTGCTTCTACAATTACACCTACTACAACGATTACTACCACAAATAATAATAATAATATCATGGTTGTTAGCATTTCATAAGTCAGCAGCAAACTTAAATGAAATTCATCATAATCTCGAGTGCCCAAAATCGGCATCATTTGAAAAGGACTTCTTGAATATCTTTATTGTAGGGAGAATTTATTGTAGATTTCAACGTACTACATACAACAAGTAGTAAAAACCTCTTGAAGATATTTGCCACTATAATTCAGATGAATAATTTTGTCTGGTTTCATTTTTAAACTGGTGAAAATAGAATTAGAAGAAAATTATTTTTCACTTAATTTTTTATAGATATTTTATGATTTATCACATCTGGGCGGCGCGGTGGTGTAATGGCTAGGTTATCTAGCAGCAATGTTGCAGTTACTGGATTCGAACGCCAAGAAACTCCTGCCTATTTCATGCAACGTCTATGTAATGCCTTGATTCGCGTGTATTTCTTACATGTGCTGGGTGTTTCTTGTAATTACATTTGAGAAACTCTCTACTCAAGAGAGTATCGTAAAAATTATTTGGCTTGCTTATCATTGTAAAGACTCTTGCAATAAAAATCCTGTTGAAACGATTTATTACACACGTTGAAACATTGAAAAGTGTGTATACGTACGTACGTACGTGAGTGTGTGTGTACGTGAGTGTGATTGTATGTGTGGGTGTATGTGTGTATGTATGCGTGAATTGTGCGCGTGTCGCTATTGTAACATCCAATTTAATGTATGTATCGAATGAACAATCATTCGATACATCATTACATTACATTGCATAACATTGCCATCACGCGATTTCATAATGTAATAATTCTTAATGTAATAATCATCCCTAAACAATGATATCAAATAAGGATTGTCGTTAAAGTTAGCGTGTGTGTATCTTAAATACAGAACGACTGACTTGTGAGCAACAATGTATCATGATACGATACAGCATACCGTATATACAACTATGATAAATCAGAGTAGGTACTGTGAATGAGTTAACTGAATTTCGGCCATCCATTACGATTTATTTTCTGTGATTTTATTATTTAATTATTCATATATTTATTAAATTTAATTAGTTATAAATTTATTTATCAATATATTACTGTTTAGTATTGATATTTTTATAAATTTATTTAAGTTTAAGCTAAAGTATTAAATTTTGAATAGAAACAACATTTGATGGAGCTGTTTATAACTCAAAGAATTTTTAATGATTGAAAATAAATTTTTAAAGATTGGTATATAATAACAACAACAATAATAATATTAATAAGAAAAAATAACAATAAACACAATAACAATAACAAGAATATATATATATATATATATATATATATATATATATATATATATATATATATATATATATATATATATATATATATATGTA